CCTATCCTGGTAGTCTCAGAATTTACAGCCTTATTGACCAGAAGATGGGAAGAGAAGGAAGTAAGGAAAATTAATGCTGAACATTTGCTACTAGTTTCTCTTTGTTTTAGAGATTTTTAAGTAGGGATGGAAGGTGGGGTATTACTTCTCTGTCATGTCTCACTAAGCAGACCTTGAAAAGAATTTGTCACAGAAGTAAAGTGATATCGAAGCATATTCTGTATTTCAAAAGTGCCTTTCATCCCAGAAGCTCAAAGTTATGAGGCAACACGCTTGCAGATTTCTCCCTGCCATTATTTGCCATTTTAGACAAGGGAAACAGGAGTATTGTGAGGTTAAACAACCTAACCATAGGTGGAAGGCAGGCTGTAACAGAGCTAACAATAAAAGTCTTTTCTCCCTATTTTGATATGTTTATCAAAGTTTCTCATCTCTTACAAACAATACATTTAATACTGTCTTCTAAAAGAAAATCTTTTCACCATCTTTGCACTACATAGTCAAGCATAGGATCCCAGAATGGGTTGTTGTTTGGCATTGAGTTTATTGGAACATAACAGCTATGCTGCATTGCATACCAGGCGATATCCACTATCCAGGGTATTGTATTCTTGAATGTTTTCTGTAATTCAAATAGAATCTTGAATTCAAGCTTTTTCAGAGGGGAATAAAATAATTTCAAAAGGTTATCTAAAGCTTTATTTCTGTGTCAGACAGCCACAAATGCTGTGCTCAATGGGATATAGAGAAAAATCTATTTGAACCCAGTTGCAATTTCTTTTTCTTCACTCTTTACCTAGTAACAGTGCTGAGAGAAAAGAAGACAGTGAATATACAAGTTGAGTTCTTGCTAGTGTGAGATGATAGTGCAAAGGTTGTACCTCATTGCACTCTGGGAATAATCAGGTCAGATTTCTTCTGTTTGCCTTGGAATTGTGATATGGTGGATAAATGCTGCTTTTTCCCCTTGTTTGGAAAACAGGTCCAAGCTGGAGCTGGATTAAGATTTCACTGTAGAACACAGACTGAGTTTGCAATTATCTCCAGTCATTTGGGCTGAGATTCATTCCTGACCAGAGCAGTCTCTCTAATAGCAAGGCAGTCCACTTTCTCTCACCAGAATCTGCAAGGAGAGTGTAGAATTCCCTCTTCAGTAACCTAGGCTTCTTTTTTTTTTCTATTGTTTGCAGACAAAAATCCCCAGGAGGATGAAGCTTCATTGCTTGGAATCTAGAGCTTTCTACTAAATATCTGTGTATTTAATAACGTTTTCAGAAATACACTGAATTTACTTTACTAAGGCAGTAACATCTTATAGCAGGGTGCCAAATTGCTAGTGAGGAAATGCACATTAAATGAACATTTCAGTGTTATTAAAAATAATGTGCAGCCTTTGAAAAATGCAGGACTAATATGATTTTGGAAAGCAAATGAGGTGCTCCGGTAAGTTTACAGCTGTGGAATGCCTCCAAGTAATGATTGTTGCTGACATATTCATGCTTTATTTTTAATTGCTACAGCTAATAACGCTAATGAAGAAAGAATGACAATAGCTTAGTCATTCCAGTGGCAATACTGAAAAGGAGAGTGCTGAGTTGACAGCAGTCCTGCTGGGCACCCATCCTCCCTTGTCTTTCCCAGACCAGATCTGAGCTGCCCAAGCTTCAAGGGTCATCCTCACTACATAACCATAGGGAACAAGATGCAGACGGGGCCACCAGGAGTGGTGAAGCACTGACAAGAGAAGTAACTGGGGAAAAGCCACATTTGTCTCATTCTTGGAGATGGCTGCTGTGTTTTGGCTCTGGTGTTCACACTGTTAGGGTACTGCTTGAGATTACAGTGAGCAGGAAAGCAGCTTTCTCTGTAATTTTTGATGTAGATTTAATCCAAAGCATGTTGTTTTCATGAAAAGTCGTTCAGACTTGTACTTTGATTTAGAGGGTTTCCTGCTGGATTTATTTGGTGTGAGTTATCAAAACCCCAAGGCTTGCTGACTCAGCCTTACTTATGACCCTGATTTGATCACTCCATTGTTCCATTCTTAATCCTTCAGTGAGGTTAGAATAGGTTAATCTAGTGAAATACTTGCTTAATTCTACCCTTGCTCATTTTTTCTTTTACAAGAATATAGTTATTATTTCAGCTTCCAATTGCTCTGAGAGCAAAGCTAATTCAGCTGAAACGTAACTTGATTGTGTTTCTACAGTTGAGACTCTACGCCAACAGGAGATGAGGCACCTTCTCTTTTCCAGAGAAATGCTGATAAGCTGATCTGTTTAAAGTTTGGAACACTCTTCTGGCTGGCTATTAGAGAATGCTTGACTTTTTCTGTAGTCTCATGCAATGCTGTCTACTCCTGCTGGCTCAGTGTTCTTGCCTCTTACACTTCTTTTCTGGGCTGCTGTTAGCTCCCATGACCCATTAGCAAAGGAAATGAAACCGAAGATATGGATATTCACTAAATCCATCACAGGTATCAAAAGGCTTTTTCTACCGACTCTGTCTCATCAGATGGTATTTGGGACTCCTTTGGAGTGTGTTGATACGGTTGTCCTTATGGTCATCTGTGTTTGGCAGGAGCACACCCCTTTCATACAGTTATGGTTGGTACTGAAAACCAGAAATCTAGATTTCTCCTGTGATGCCTATGAATACAGAGGTGGTTAAAAAATGTCTGTTTTCCCCTCTTGTTCTTCCTAGACCTCTTCGGAAGCTGGGAAAGAAGTGTGGAGGAGCTGTTTTGTGGCAACTGGTCCTCCACAGCGGACATATCTTTAATGTGCCAAAGGTGCACAAGTTGCCAAACTGCATGCAAGCACAAGCCTGTTCTCACCTCTTACCAGGCATGGATGCTAAGCAGTGATTATGGGCAGCACAATAATTCGTACTGTGCTAGATATCCAGTAAGCCTGTGGAAGGGAGCTCACTGTGGGCAGGAGGGTTGTTTTCTGTGCTACAGAGCTTTCTTCTTAGCAGCATGCCAGATTTGGCAGCTTGAAGTATTGTGAAATTAAAGCTGTCTTAATTTCTACTGGGAGCACTCCCTGCCCAGTTCTAGTTTTAGAATCTTTTACTCAATTTAGATTTGTTTTCTTGTGCTTTCTCTCTCCTTTGGCAACATGTCATTCTATTGCACTCCTCTGGGAGTAACAAATCCCTTATGGATGCTATGCTATTTAGTGTTTATATTTGATAAGAAGACACCTAAACATACCTTCTTCAGTACTTTCACAGATGGAATCGTCTCATGCAGATCAGGCAAGTGTGAAGGAGAAATTTATGGTATCTCAAGGGGCCAAATCTGGTCTGAGAGTTATTACTGCATAGGGATAACTTAGCCACTGTGAAGTTTCCTTTCACCATTTTTTCCAACCAGGATCCCAAAGCAGTGAGACCACACGGCAGGTGGAGTGGGGCTTTATCCCAGTGTGCCAGTGGGCTCTGACAGGCTGTCAGGATGGCTCACTGGAAGGAAGGAGTGACCTGGTGGAGGTGTGCTAACAAAGTAATAAAGGCCTCAAAGTAGGCAAGACAACCACAAGAAAACGTTCAAAGAAGCATGACAATCTGTGGTTTCTGAACAACAGGGAGCTCCCTCAGCTGTGAGCAGGAAACAATAGCATATTGGCCACGGTGCTTTGCTGCCAGGAACACGTCTTACAGCCCACAGGAGAGATCTTCCAAATGTGCTTCGACTTTTGTGCCTGTTCAGCAAGCCAAGACACTAGTCCCTTCCTTGCTTTTTACTTACATTGTTTCTTAAAGCGTTGCAGAAGACTGACAAAGATTTAAGTCCTCAGAAAAGAAGGGAAGATGGTAGTAAAAAGGGATTTCACCTAGGGGCAAGGATTCACCATCCTCCAGCACTTAGCTGGAAAGCAGGAAAAAGCACACTTACTTTGAGTCCATCTCTAAGAAATGAAACACATTCAAAGTGCACCCCTGCTCCACACACTTGTCTCAAATTCCTTTTACTCTTATGCCTTCTCACCTCCACAGATACACAGACAACTGAGAGGAGCATCATCTGAGAGACCTCCGAATGAGGTTTAGTTTCAGCACTAAATCTTCCCTTGATGGCTCACAGTGGCACTGTATTGCCAATAGATTACAGGGTTTCAGCTGCTTTCAATACACAGCAGAGCACACAAAGGAACCCCTGCCAGCCCTAGCAGTGCTCTCAGTCAAATAAAAGCCCTTTAGCTTCCTGTTGCAAAACTCTCTCTAGGATTCATGTATATTTTATCAAAGTTACATGCAGCTCTGATACTTGCTTCTAAAGTGCTTTAGCATGAATCCCAAGATGTACTGAAACACTGCAGTGGCCCTTTTAAAAAAATCAAGGTTAGGGTAGAGAAAAAATAAAATGGCTTGGCTTCATTGCATGTGTTAAAAGCAAATTCTGATCAACAGGCCTATATTGATATAAATAAACAGAAGAAACACAAACATACATCTACATTAAATCATTTTGCTCCTTGTAATTGTACCCTGGGAGAAGCACAAACAAAGAGAAACTCCACAGTTTCACCTCTCATAAACGAAGGTCCTGCAATGATCTAAAGCTATTTCTTGCCAGAAGTGCTTCTACAATACAGCACTGAGGTCAACACAAAAGAGCTATACCCTCAGTGGAAGCCAATTACTGTGAAGACAGTTAACAGCCTGGAATAAGAATTAAAAAAAAAAGAAAAAAAGGACAAAAAGGTTGTGTTTGTCAACTGGGATTTTTTGGTGTGTGTGTCTTAAGCTGTGAGAAAAGAAAAATTTACAGTGATCTATTCAGAAGAAACGAATGTGCATTATTTTAAGCTGCATTTCATTACTCCTTTGTCTTCCAGGCATTTGGAAATTTTAGATCAAGATAGATGGGCAGAAAGCAAGTTCTGGCTACAGAATAATAGGGAATTAGGTAGAAGTCAGCAAGAGCCAACATAGCAGAGGGGTGATTTAAAAAACAGAATTCATTTTGTATGTAATAAAGCTTTAGTACTTACAGCTGTCCTCTTCTTCAGTAATACATTTCACAACATAACAGGCATAGATGAAGCCTGCCAGCTGAAACAAAATATAATAGCATTAAATGTAAAGCAAATACCATAGAAAAAGATGAGTTTGTTTTAGAAAAGCAGTAACAGAAACAACAGAAGTAACAAAATTCACTAGACTATGTTTCATGAGGTAATAATAATTCTTTATAATAATTACTTAAATCTAAGAATGAGTTAATTGACTTATTTTATGTGATTCTTTTTGAAATTGTCATGAGTTGGCATTTAAAAAAAATGCAACATATCCTTCAATAAAACTTCCAAAAATTGATCAATTTTTTTTCCATTGCAGAAATATCTTATTTTAATTATTGAAAACCAGAAAACTAAGTGGATGGCTGGATGGATGGAGTTGAACAGCTGCAAATGTAAATACTTATACCAAAGTCAGAGTTATTTGTCAACAAAACCTAACCCTCTTGCAGAACTCTGCTTTTTTAGCAGAACATTGCCACCTAAACTTAGTGCACTTATAAACCAACGTTGTAATGATGTTTTATCACTTGAAATTAGGGCTGTAGATCTGACTCTGGAACGTGTTCCCATATCTCCAATCACTCCAAGCCTAAAGACATATCTGCCAATTTGGGTAGGTCTGGATGTGTTTGCATAAGCATCTCATGTTGCTGCTGGCAAATTCAGATCTTGTTCCCTTCATTCCTCTCCTCAGAACATGCCCAGAGGTGAATTCTAAACAGAAATAACAGAATTTCAATAAATAAATTGAAAAGCTGGAGAGGTGCTCGAATACCATGGCAGATTGCTTATCTGAAACCATCACATGAAGAAAACATAAAAATAGGTAAAAAATAGCAAATATCACAGATGCCATGGGACAAGTATGATCTGAGTCCTCTGCTAGTCCTTCCAGCAAGTTCTGTTCAATGGCCAAGACGTTATACCTACACCAGATGCAACATAACAGCATGTGTGCTGCATGTTGCATTCTTTACATGGTTTCTTTATATGTAGGTCCGGAAAGCTTTCCCTACTTATTTACAGCAAACTGTTTTTCATCCTTCAGCTCATCACTGAAGTCTGCATGGTAGGAATTCAAAAGAATTCAGGTTGTTTCACCTCTTTGCAGTGAGAAGTGAGCTGTGCTGTTGATATGTGTTATTCTCAATAGTTCAGTTGTATAGCTGCAGACTCAACAGTAGGATTTTCAATCAGCTCTTTATGAGGATCATAATAATACCTAAAGGCTCCATCCAGGACTTGGCTCTCAGTGTGTATGGTGCAAAAATCATTGTCTGCGGCTGAGAGAAATCACAATCTTAATTTCAGACAAGCAAATCGCTGGGTCAGACAGTCAAGAGAGTATGAGGTCTGAGACAAGACCATGTGTTGTTATGGATGCTGATTAGAGTAAATGGATTTTTTTTAATGCATCTAAGGCACTTCTAAAGTCACTGGAATATTCTGGGTTCTTAAAGCCATTAATATTATGTAGACATGAAATACAAACAAATCCATTCTGTTTTTTACTGGTTTCATAGTGGAGGCTGTGACAATACTTAATTTACTCCAGCTCTTACATAGATCTTCCTAGTATTTCCTTCAGTCTTCATTGTAGAAAGCTCTCCACACGTATGAATGCTAGTTTCTAGTATCTGTATGTGTGAGATAACAGCTAAAGAAAAACAGATAGCAAAAAAAAAGCAGTCCCAAAATTTTTCTGAAGAGATTGAGACTTGATTTGGAGACCACATTGCAGGAGTACAGATGTTGTCTACTAACTGCTTAGGCTCCTGTTGGGAGCCCTAAAGTGGCATTATAACAGAACTAAATCATTAATTTTGTCATTTATTATAAATCTACCTTATAGTGCTGCTGGGAAGATTTTGCACCTGGGAAGAATGAAATATTCACTGCTGGGCACTAAGAATGCGGTATACCAAGAACAGTGGCATTCTGCTAATATCAGCATTTCATCTCTGCTTTATTGGACTGTTCTTTCCTTTGGTTTCTTGGTTTCATGACAGGGCTAATTTACTCCACTGATTTATGCACCACTGACTACAGTGACATTACACGAGGTTTAATCCAGCAAAGAATTAGGTCCAGAAAGGTTATTCATAAATGATTCTATTTTTGGGTACAATCCTTGGCTTAATAGTTTCTCTGTTCACTTTTTACAGACAATCACATCCAAAAAACTGAACAGTTGCATCTCTGCTAGGCAACTACAATGGTGGTTTTTCTTTCAATACTTTACTATCATCTAAAACACTACAAGCTCACATTATTAACTAAACTTCTCTCACAAAGCACAGCAAACAAACTGTATCACAAACTGTTTAAAACTGATCTTTTAATCGTATTCAGTTGCATCTCTTAAATGTCTAGGGAACTCTTTTGATATATAAGTAAATCCTACAGCATTTCATCAGATGAGCTTGCTGATTAAAAGACTTCCTTTAAGCTAGAAATTGTTCTGTTCTAAATACAAATGGAAGTTTGCTTCCCTTGAGATAATCAAAGTTTTAAAATAAAGCTCCCTTTCTCCCACATCTATCCAAACCTTTCCTTGGTACAAATAAAAAAAATAAATTAATTTGAACATTGCATTTTTTGGTTCATGTGTGTTTTTGTGTTTATTCTCTCTTTCTTTTTTCATTTCTTTTTTCTTTTCTGCCCTCCCTCCCCCACTTTTTTTTTTTTTTTAGACCAATGTATTTATCAGTTCTGATTCAGTGGTAGACATTCAATATTAATCACCTAATTACATTAGCAACAGACCGCCTTTACTGGAAGTGAGAATTCAGATCTGAAAGTGGAGGACTTCACTATGAGTGTGCTTGATGGCCCAAGCCCATGGTGACTACAGAGATCTCTGGGATGGGCAGAAGACTGCTTCCTCCCCAGTGGACTCAGGCTTCTGATGAGAAGAGTGGAACTTACTGGGGAACACAACAGAGCTCTTGTGTGGAAAAGTCAGCTAAAATTGTTAATGCATTCTCACAGGGACAAAGAGCTCTCACTAAATTTGTCACTTTTGTTATAGTGCCAGTTGCCTTTCTTTCACTTTACCTAATAAAAACACACCCTATCCACTTATGTTCAGCACTATATTTGTAAAGTAAATTGCAAACATATCAGTGAGTACACTTCTCCCCCTGGAGAAGATGAGAAAAAAAGAAAAAAAAGAGGTTAGTCACAATGCTTAATGCATTCTTGGAAAGTCCTCAAACATAGCTGTGCTGAACTCAGTGTAAGAATTATACTTCCTGATTCAGTATCTCAGGAGGATTTTTGTCTTTTATGAGAAGGACAGGAATGAGTCCTTAGAGATATAGAAGAGAATGAGCCTGACTGTCTCAGAAAATCATTTTAAAACTAGGAAGACTACCTTAGAAAGTCTAGCTTCTTTGCATCTTTTTCATTAAAAAAAAAAAAATCCCAAAAGATAAATATATTTATATATTAACCAGGCTTTTTTTCTATAAACCATGTAGCAATAAAAATTAATAGATGTAATGAACAGAAGAACAGATCTGCATCCCAGACTCATCCAGATTAGGTGTCTACATGTGTCTCATTTACATTTTAATACTGCAGCATGGGCCTCCAGAGGAGAAGGAACTATTAACACTCCTGCTCATTTATACCTAACAGTGATCAGAGAATTAATGTTTTTATGAATCTCATTTCCTGAAACTTGAAAAAAAAATTGCTCTTTACTATTCTCCCTGATATATTCATAAATAAACATTGCTTTTTCTGGAAGGTATACACTACCCATCCCAGCACAAACTCCCTGGGTGTTGCTTTGATGGAACCCAATGACCATCTCTGTAGATGGAGGCAATAATACAATGATCTCAAAATTAAAAAATATATATATATATTTAAATCTCTATAAACACCTTGAGAAAACCATCATTCCTTCTGCCAAAGAAAAAATCAAGAAAAGAAACAGCTGAAAACTGTCAGCAATGTAACAGCTTCACTAAAGAGATAGCAGTGAGATTAATTACTGAATTGTTAGTGCATCTTATTCCATTATTATGGCTAGATGAGACAAGTGAAAAAATAGATCAAGCATTCCCTACCTGAGCTAGTAGAGTCCTGTTACTCTTAGCAAAACCTGAGTTTTCTGTGAGTATACTTCCAGACTTGCCCAAAAAGTCAAGTGCTGTGATCAAACTTAACCAGAATCAGCATTGATCAAAATCCTGTCTTATTTTCTCTCAGCTCTTTCACAGAGATGAATTTTTTCTTACACAGCAAATAGCATCAGATTTGGGAAAAAGCTATTATATATCATCATATGATCATCACTCTTGGTCAATGCTCCCTCCTTTACCTCTTTTAAAGCGATATCTAGATACATGATTATTAGGAGTTGTCTTTATTAAACTGCATGCCTGAAACAAAAGAATGACAGCAAGAAAGAAACAACAATTAAAAGTAGGTAAGATCTGTCTCAGATGAGGTGATTAGAAGGCTCAAGATGAAGTCAATGACTTAAGAGTTACAGAAACAGCCCATGGAATTTACTTCACTGAATGCAAGTTTAAACTTAAGAAACAGCAAATCATTACGTTTTCCTATGCAAAGTTATTACAGTATTTGCTGAGTCAGTTAATGCTGAGGCACTTGTATTTATTTTTCATTACTAAGTTTTTTTTTTTCTGGATAATATAAACACTTTGTTTCAAGATCTTAGGGAAAAAAAAAAAAAAAGGCTATTTCAAGCAGTAACAACACAGAATTACATAAAGTTTAATTTTGGTTCTGGAAACTTTATATTGCCAAGCTGTGTGATACCTACGTGCAATTTAATCATATTTCTTAAGCTTACAGAAGGTTGTACACATAGAGCCTTTTTAGAAAGCTGTATTATGTATACGTATGTGAGCTGCTCTGAAAGGAATGCCTCCTATTTTATTATGTTGGCCCATGACATCAGAGGCAGATGGTGGTATGGCAGTAGAGGCTGAGTTTCCCAACCAATATTTTGTTAAATTTTGCTTCCATGTGACAGATGTCAGCAGAGGGGCA